ACAATAAATATCACTTTTATATTAAAATTTTATTAAATACATTCTCTTTTATTAGTGAAAACTGCATACAACTATTTATTGTAGACATTTACTATAGACAATATTTTTTTCAGTTTTTTTTTTAAAAAAAAGGTTTAAAAGTTATTATAAATTAAAAGTCTATATAAATAACGTTTTCTTGTAAAAAATAAACTTGGTTTACTTGTTTTAGACTTCTAAATATTGATTTATTCATCATAAATACTAAAATAAAACCGCCGATGTTGTTTTTTTCTTCTCAGAGAAAGTCCAAACATTATTTAAAGTACTTGGACGCGACAAAACAGATGTAAAGATGATCATGTTTCAAGGATGACATAATTGGGTGGCTGATTTTTTTAATTGCAGGGGTATTTTGTTCACCGATCATCGTAATTTACTAATAACGTATATGAATTTATATGGAGGACAGTTTTTGATTTACAGTCGCCACTGGATATAATGAACCTGCCGTTCCAAGCGTTTTGGTTCAGTATATGGTGAATTTGATATATGATATTCATATTATATACCGAACTGTTCGGTATATGAATTTTATCCAATTAAATTATAGCAGCATATACTGTAATATTTAAAGTTCGGATGATTACATGACTTACTATAACAGATAACACTATGTTTTATTTAAAATTTATGTGTTCATCAATTTTTTAAGTATTTACCAGCTATTCAAATGAAAATTTTATCTGATACTAGCAGAAATAATTTTTCCGGTAGTCCATTCTTTTATATTACTAATTAAAGTCACGTGATAGTTCGGTATACTATTAAATATGTAACTGATATACTTGGGCTGACTAAAATAAGTTCGGATGCGGTATATAGTAATTTATTATGTGATTTCGTTTATATCTGTTATATCCAGTGCAATTAATTATAAAAAAATCAGTTCTGTGAAACTTGGTTCAATACAACAAGTTTTCGGTACAAACAGGTTCGTTATAACCAGTGGCGACTGTATTAGACTTATTGTATATTATATTGTGTAACCAACCAGTTGGACCCCCCACACGGCCACATCCCTAGGTAATGTGCTATTTTATAAATCACGTGTCGTTTTCGGAGACCAATTTTTAATAATTTGTGTAACTTGCACCCCGGTTTTGTGGGCGTGGTTTTTGTATCACGGGGGTGACAAATAAAATTTTGACACTTAAAAAAAAACGTCCAACTCGTGGCTGCACGTGATCAGGTGACACTTAAATGTCACTTTTCTTTATATGGCGAAGATCGACACAAACCGCGCCCACAACGTGTAACTTATACATGACTCAAAAAAAAAAAAAAAAAAAAAAAAATCGGTCGATTAAAATTTCATACAATATCGAGTTTAGATGATCACTTACAATAATATATATATATATTTTTTTTTTTTTAAATAATAACATGATGATCGCTGAAACAGCGCAAAATTTTTTTTTTTCCTGTGATTAATTAAAAATTTTTATTTTAAAATCTTTCTATTTTAAATTTTTCTATTTTAACACTTTTTTTTTATTTTTATTTATAGTCATAATATTTGGTTAAGAGATCACTGTAAATGTGATGAATGTTTTCATAAAGTAACCAAACAAAGACTTGTTGATACATTTAAGATACCGGAAGATCTTGAATCAGAATCTGCGTTACCAGAATCAAATGGAATAAAAATTAAATGTATATTTTATCATTTATTTGTACTTAGTTTAGTATTTATTCTTCGAATCTGAATTAAATTTTTTGATTAGGGAGTGATGGACATACTAGTTTTTTTAGGTGGACTTGGTTGAGAAGGCATTCTTATGATCCACAATTTGTTGATTTTCAACCATTCTTACAAAAGTAATTGTCATTTTTTTTTTACGTGTAAAAAAAAAATTTTTTAACAAATAAATTTATTTATTTATTTGTTTTATTTCCTATTATTTAATAGGAAAATATTATGGGATGCGAGGATTAAAGAGTATCCGCCGACTGTTAAGTACGAAGATGTAAGTCAGTAAGTCATACATGGGAACAAACTATTTTAAAATTATAGCCAAAATAATTAATTTATTTATGTGTTTCTATTTTATTCGTAGGTAATGAAATCTGAAGAAGGGTTATCAAATTGGTTATTGAACATTGTAAGTACTATTCTATTTATCCATTTAGCTGCATCACCTTACTTTATTTATTTATTTATCCAATGTAAATTTCTTTTTTTTCCTTATTAGGATCAATTTGGATTTTGTTTTGTTGATGGAGTGCCACCTAAAGTTGAAGAGACAGAAGAATTAGCTAAAAGAATTTGTTTCATAAGAGAAACTCATTATGGTAAAATTATTTCAAGTGAGATATATTAATTTCCTCTTTTCTAAAAAATATTAAGTTTTGTCTTATTTAATTAGGTAGATTTTGGGACTTTACATCAAATTTAGAACATGGAGATACTGCATATACATCATTAGCATTGAAAGCTCATACCGATAATACCTATTTCACTGATCCATCTGGGTATGTTAAAATTTTCTTTTTTAGTAAATTTAAATTTAAAATTTAAAAAAATAACATTATTTTAAATTTTCTCAACTCTTTGAAATAGGTTACAAATGTTTCATTTAATTGAGTTCAATGGTACGGGAGGATCGTCATTATTAGTTGACGGATTTTGGGCGGCTCGTAGATTAAAAATGACATTTCCTGAAGCACATAAAATATTATCCACAATTCGTATTCCTGCACATTCAGCAGGTGATCCTAATACATTAATTGAACCGACACCGAATGCTTATCCTATATTAAATTATAATCCTTTAACAAATGAAATTTATCAAATTCGGTATAATAATGATGACAGATCAACGTTAAGTCATTTATCATCGAATGAAGTTGAAGCATTTTATGATGCATTAAGAAAATGGAATAATATTTTAATTGATAAAGAAAATGAGTATTGGGTAAAATTAGAACCTGGTAGAGCATTAATTTTTAATAATTGGAGAGTATTACATGGTAGAGCTGGATTTACTGGTCATAGAAGAATAATTGGAGCTTATTTAAATTGGGATGATTATAGGAGTAAATTAAAAATTTCTAATTTAACTAGAGAAGAAATTGATGAAATGATATGATTTATTAAATAGTTTATTTGTTTGTTTATCCAAGTTATTTAAATTATTCAAAATTATGCCTAATTATTATGTATCTGTTTATTTAAATTATGATATTTATTTAATATAATAATAAAAAACATAAAAGTGATAACAGAACAAATTATAAACGTGACATCAACAGAAAAAATTATAAACGTGACATCAACAGAAAATTATAAATGTCCCTTTTATTATCAATAATATTTTCACCATTTTACCATAAATCCCGTCTTCTAGATCTCTCATTTCTAATAAATCTCTTTTTCCATCCCATTTCTTCAATTTTTTGATTGTATTCTTCTTCTAATTCATTTCTTCTTTCTTCAGATACGGGAGCGATGATACCTATATAAAATTGACTACATTCAAATTTTTCCGCTAATTTTTTTCTAGTCCATTTAATAGGATCTTTTTCACGTAATTGTTTTATCTCATTTATTTGTTCTTGAGTTAAATGATATGATTTTTTTTTAATCGGTTTTAATGGTGGTGGTAATTCTTCAAATGATTGATTTTGAGGTTTTAATGGTACTCTTGATATGAATATACTACCATCTTCTAATTCTTTTTTTTCGTAAATTGGTGCTGATGATTTACTAGTATTTATGGGTTTTTTGGCTGTATAAGTACGAGTAAATAATATTCGATTTAATGATAATGCGGAAGGAATTTTTTTAATCAAAAATGACATTATATTGAAATTAATTCATATCCGCATGAGTTTTATGATGTTTATATATTTTTAGGTGGCTTGTAATTTCTGTTACACAAGATCTTGCAAAAAAAAAGATAAACCAGATCCAAAATCGTGTCTATATAAAAGGGGATTTGCAAAAAAATAATAAATAAATAACTTTTAGAATAGAATGAGTTCTATAAGATACTTCTCCGCTAATATTATTACGATAAATAAACGTCCACTAACAACTTTAATAACCAGATCAAGAAATTCATCATTAATTTCATCATATTATCGTTCCTTTCAATCTTCGATTAAAAATCATAACGAAGATAATATTAATAATAATAACAACAATAGTATTAGTAGTAGTAGTATAAACGACAATAATAATAATAATAAAAATAACGAAGATAATAATATAAAAGATAAGGAGAATGAAAAAGTTGACCTTTTTGATAAGATTTTATCTAATGATTTAAATTATAAAGAAAATGATATTAATTTAAGTAGTAAAGAATTATTTTCAATTTTAAAAGAATCTTTATCAAGATCAAGAACAGTTTCAACCTCTGGTGAAAATTCTCAATCAATAACAAATTCTTCATCGCCTTCTTTATCATCAAATGATCCATCTCTTTTTGATTCCACAACTTCAAAATTACCTTCAACTTCTACACCTGAAACACCTGAATCTATACTTGATACAACGAATATATCTTCTAGTAAAGAAGATGCATCATTAATATTTGCTACAAATAAAGATCCCACATTCGATCCCACACTTGAAACAGCAATTGTACATTCAACTGAAGCAGATGCTACAACAAAATTGACTATAGATAAAAATGATCCTCGATTCATAAGGGAAGATCCTGTAATTTCACAAGCAGTAAATATTATAATGCGCCATGGTAAAAAAGCTACTGCAAGACGTTTTTTAGCTGATGCGATGGTAGAAATACGTAGACAAACACATAATGATCCTTATTTAATTACTAAGGCTGCTATTGAAAAAGCTTCTCCACTGGTTAGTCATATGAGCTATAAAAAAGGTTCAAAAGTAACTTTAATTCCTAAAGCTTTAAATGAACGCCAAAGGCGCCATAAAGGTATTAGATGGATTTTGGATGCTTCTGACAAAAGATCCGGTAAAAATTTTAGTATTAGATTAGCTAACGAAATTTTAGCTGTAATCAATGGGGATTCAGCTGCTTTAAAGAAAAAGGAGCAATTACATAAATTAGCACTTGCAAATAGAGCTAATTTACCAGTCAAGTGGTAAATGTAACATACTTAATATACTGTTATAAATAGTAAATAAAAATAAATAATTATATTTATTATTTAACTTTCTGAACATTTTATTTTTGAACAAGTCAAAAGATGATTGTTACCCTCCAAAAAACCAAAATTGTACCTATTCTATACATTTTATAGTTTTTGTGCACGATTTTTTTTTATTCCAATAAATCTATAACGCTCAAAGTTAAATTTGATTAACCAAATTACTAATAGTAAAAAAAATTATCCGAGTTATTAATTTGATCTTTTCTTTGTTTTAATAAATTCCGGATAAAATAGTTATTTCATAAATTATTTTTTATCCGTTGCCATTGCTGCTTTTTTAGCCTTGACTTGCTCAGATAAATACTTCAGGAAGGTTAAAAAAAAGATAAAAATAAAAATTAATAAAAGAATTAAATTTAACAAAATAAATTTGTCATTAACTTATTTCTCTTACCTTAAATCTAAGTTTGCATTCCTTTTTTGTTTTATCGTCGACTGCTGCAGCAATTTTGTCCCATCTATCACCATCGCCTTTCCATTCTCGTGGATAAGTTTGTAAAGCCCGTTCCAACTGAGCTTGTTGAGCTGCCGTCCAGTTAGTAGCTGATTGTGACGGTGTCGCTGCTGCAGATGTAGATGAGGATGTAGATGTGGATGTAGACATAGACGTAGATGTAGATGATGATGTAGACGATGCTACGGCTGTGGTGGTTGTTCCATTAGATGAAATAGTTTTTTCGGTGGTCTCCTTTGATGTCGTTATAGTCTCTGTCGCATTTGGAGAAGTTTCTTTTTCCTCGGTATTTCCTGAGGTTGGAGCAGTTAACTGTTGTGCCTTGGTGGATTTCTTTGCTTTATTTTTGTTCGCTTTTGATGTAGGTTGTGATTTATTCTGCGATTCAGCAGGTGCTACTACTGGCTCATCATAATTAATAGTTGCTTCACGCATTGAAGGATGCTCTGTAATTCGCGTGTCGGCATGTTTCTTTTGATGCTGTAGTTTACGCACATCTTCTTCTAGTGCAGTTGCGCCTGTCAAATAATTCGTTATTCATTGCTTATTATATTATCATATAAAACATCAAGTTATATAAAATCTTCTATACCTTTTTGGACTTCTTTGGATTTTTTAATCAATTCATCATTAGTTCTTAGTGGTAAATTTGCGTGATATGCGACGTATTCACTTATTGTTTCCCACCTTAAATAGTTTAAGTTAATAAAGATTCTATATATGGTCGATAAATAAATTTTATCTTACCTATTCACTGTACCGCCAGGATACTTATTTGCGGCTTTAATCAACAGTGATATTTCTTCTACGCTCCATGATCGCTCTTTAGGTTCTTCCGTCGTTTTAATGACAGGTTCTTCAACTGGAGTAGTCTCTTTAACGTTCACTTCATTGATATCTAATTGGATTAATATAATTTCAGTATTTTTTTTAAATAAATTAGCAACTTTGTCACATTTATCTAAATAAATATATATATACCTGGACTGAAATGTTTAATTGAATCAGCTGATAAAGTTCCAGCACTAACAAGTCTTTTAGCTTCTTCAACTAAAACCTTCTTGGCAGTATGACGATCTTGAGAAGAATCTAATTGCTTTCTTACGTTTTGCAATTCCTCCAAAGAAAGATTTTCAAATAATGTATCCAATTCTGATAATTGAATATCAATAACTTCCACTGGTGGTGTTTCATTTTCCGGGTAAAAATAATTATAATTCTTATTATTATAAAATTACGTATTTATTATAAATATATTGAGGGAAAGTTTTTCTTTTTTTAAACAAAAATTTCAATAAACATAATAAAAAATCAAACGAACCTTAACATGTGTCTTGATATTTTTCTTTTCATTACGAATAACTTTCTTCTTCGCTGTCTTTTCCTTCTTTTCCTCGGCTTGCTATACAGTTAATGTGTTAATACGTATACTTAAGATATATCTTTAAATAACGATGATAAAATCAGGATTAAAAACCTTTTGTTTTGCTTCAGCTTCAGCCATCTCTTTCCTTTGTTTCTCTTCCTCTGCAGCCTTTAGAAACGAAAATATAATTATGTTGGATAATTAATCTTCTATTCCATCATGAATTCTTTTTCTAAATTTAGAACTTTGCATTGCGATATACTCTCAAATAGTGTTTATCAATATTAAATACATCTTGTGTATATACATTGTAAACAAAAACCGACAATGCAGAGATATACTGTTAAAGATCACTAACATACAAAATCAGATAGAATAAACTAATAAAACGGATAGATCATTCTAACCCGTTATAGAAGCATTTGTGCTACCAATCTTGAATGAAAAGAGCTAGAAAAATAATGTAAGGGAAAATGTTTTATCAACAATACCTTTCTCGTTTCTTCTTCGGCCCGTTTTGCAGCATCTTCTTTCTCTCTTTTCTTTGCCTCTTTTGCTGCTTTCTCCTCTTGTTTAAATTTTAGAATACGTGGATCTAATGACAACGCCTGATCTAACCACAAAAAAATAAAAGATTGTTAAATAATAATTCAAACTTGAAAATGATAAATACAAGTAAAAATAAACGAAATTCTACCAATAAGTTTTCCTCGTCTAATATTATCTTCTTTTTTGCGTTTTGCTCTTTCGGCTTTATTTTTCTTTTCAATGTATCGTTTATCATCACGGCTTTATATAATAAAAAAAAAAATCGACATATAATGATTGAATATTAAAAAAAAAAAAAAGAAAAAAAATAATTAAATGAAAATAATTATTTTAACACACTTGTCTGTACTATCAGTATCTTCTTTATCAAGATATTCAAAAGAACGCCAAGAATCAAAATTATACCTATAAGTAAAATAAATGTATTTTAATTTAATTTTTCAAAGAACATATAAATGATTATGCATATAAATACCAAAAATCATAAAACGCTTCAACTTCTGGTTTGGATGTATTTATATCACCCAGCATGGGGACTGGAGTTTTATTAGAAAACCTAAACGAAACAAATAATAAAATATAAGAAAATATATCAATCAAGAATAATACTCCATTCGTACAATCCAAAGCCCACCTCGCTTCACGTTCAAATATAGGACCATATGTCTTAAAAAAGTCACCCTTAGCTTTTGAACTTGGTACTTCATCATCAATGGCATCATCCACTGAATCAAATTGACGACGTTTGACGGGATCGGAAAGAACTTCATGAGCTATTTAATTAACAAATATTCAACAAAAATAAGTCGACGTAATTGCATTTAAATCAAAGCATAAAAATATAATTACAAACCTTTTTGTATGCATTTGAAGAAAGCATCATCATTCGTATCCCCACTAGAGGCCTTTTTATCCGGATGATGCTTTAAAACCTTCCTCCGATCTATAATTGTTCATAATTAAATTGAAAAAAAAATTAATCATTTCAAAGTTAAATTTAAAACGAAGAAAATTCGTTTAGTAAAATAGAAGCATACGCGCATGTTTTATTTGCTCTTCTGTAGCTTTCCACCTATATTTAGAGAGACCCAATACTGCGTAGTGATCTTGTTCCTATTAAATAATTGGAGTATTATTAATTGAGATCTATCAATTTAAATCAATTCATTCTTCCATATAATTACCTTCCAATCTTTTGGATCTCTATTTAATAATTCTGAAGTTTCTTCTTCAGAATCCTCTAAAATAATTTCTTCAGCTTGTTCCGTCGCAGCTTCTGCCTGAATACGTTCGTCATCGGAAAAAGAGTAATTATTCAACTTTCGACGGACATATGCAAGGAATTGGTTACCAATTGGCTCAATATTACGAGTCAAGCCATCTGAAAACAAAAAGAACGAAATATTCTTATTAGAAACGAAATATAACTTCCGAAAAGCTCAGAACTTATCAACATTCCAGATATAAACTTTAAAAACTTGTATTATACCGGAAATTCCACAATGAATTCGAAATTCTTCACCGTCGTTCCACGTTGGCGGAGGAACACCAAGAACAAACTGAGTTTGTGACATGTCTTATACAACCCTTTTTTTAAATAACTTGAAAGAAATACCAAGGTTGATCTGTTTTCTCCAAAAATTTGCGCATGTAAAAAAAAAGATAATATATCACATGTCACTTTTAATGAGTTTTTCCGTAAAATTTCTGCGCATTAATTCATGTGTAACAATTTATCATGTTTATATAAAACGTACGGTAATTGTGGTAATTGTGATAATCTTAACCGAATTCTCTCAAAAACTTATTTACAAGAAAAAGCTTTAAAAGCTTTCCAACAACTAATTTAAAAGAAAATCAAATAAAAAAAAATGGCACAAGAAAGTGAACAACCTCCTACTAGTTCTGATGCAAATCAAAATAATAAACAAACGATCGAAAAATCATCAAATGTTTTGTCGAAATTTGAAAAATTATCTAAAAACGTTTCTCAAATTAAATGTCGAATAATTACCGTCGATGAAATTGTTACCGTTGTCAATACAAAAGAGAAAGGTTAGTTACTATAATAATAGTAATTATTTGTTACTCTTTTTTTAACCGAATCTTTTTTTTTTTAGTTATCAATGAGTTGAGGCAAAGTATAAAAGAGAAAGATGATAAAATAAAAAGTTTGTCTACACAAAACGACGTTCTACTTGAAGCTTGTACTACACTTTCACAGCAAGCGCGAGAATTGAGTCAGCAGAATAAGGAAACACTAATGGGAGTTCAATCAGAACTTCACACTGTACGAGCAGAGAATGCGAAACTTGTTGACGAAAATTGTAAGCTTACAAAGAAAGCAGAATCTCTTCAGGTTGGTGGTTTAAATATTAATTAAATATTTATTTATATTTTGTTTCTCTATTACATAACTTAATTGTGTCCTTTTACAAACTTTTGATATATTTTTAGGAGAAATCTCAGAAGGATAGGAGTAATATACTTATTGCTGAAGAAAATCAGCTTAGAACTGAAATAGCGTCACTTAAGGTATACAATGCTCAAGGGTATACTCTTAATTGAATTCATTATTAACTAATACTATTTTTTTTTTTTTTTACAGAACGAGAACATAAAACTTCGTGGAGAGCTGCAGCAACAAACAAAAAACAATACTAATAAACTTAATAGTGAGAACGAACAGCTCAAAAATGAAATAAAGAAATTTAAAGTATGTCATTTGCTTTAATAATAGTACGTTGCATTTATTAATTACATGAATTTTTGTTTTTACAGTTCGAAAACACAAAACTAAGAAAGGAAGTACAAGACGTCCTTAATGATAAGGCGGAAAAGATTGATAGTACAGAAAAGCAAGTTGAAGAAATACAAAAGGCTCTTGAGCAGAGGTATGAACATTCGATACTTTGTGATGTCTTTTGTGCATATACTTATTTAACAAATTAATTTATTATGATCTGTTATTTAGTGAAGAAGAACGTAAAAATGCCGAACTCGCCATCATGAATATCAAAGAAGAGTATGAAGATGAAATCCAAAAACTGAAATCTGAATTACAAGATGCTGAGGATCGAGAACTTGAGCTTGAAATGTATTCAGTTCTTATTAAAGAAAGATATACTGTTTGCGAATCATTAACTAATGATCTAGAAAAGAAACTCGTTGGATGTGAAGAAGTTGTTGATGATCTTGAGAAAGAACTTAATGATTGTGAGTCTCAAATAAGTATTTTAGAAACGAAACTCGCAGAACGTGATGCTCTGGTGGTGGACCTCAATAAGAAACTCGCAGAACGTGATTCTCTGCTGGTGAACCATAATAAGAAACTCACGGAACATGATTCTCTGGTGGCAGACCATAATAAGAAGCTCGCAGAACGTGATTCTTTGGTGGTGGACCTCAATAAGCAACTTACGGAACGCGATTCTCTGGTTGCGGATTTAAATAAAAAACTCAGAGAACGTGATTCTCTGGTAGCGGACCTCAATAAGAGACTCACGGAACGTGATTCTTTGGTAACGGACCTCGATAGGAGACTCACAGAACGTGATTCTCTGGTAGCAGACCTCAATAAGAGACTTACAGAACGTGATTCTCTGGTAGCAGATCTCAATAAAAGACTCACAGACCGTGATCCTCTGATAGTTGATCTCGACAAAAAATTAGCAGATCGTGATATGAATTTTCAAAAGAAACTTGCAGAGCGTGATTCTCGAGTTGAGGATCTCGAACGAAGGCTTTCAGAACGTGAATCTACAGTAATTAATTTCGAAAAGAAAATCGCGAATGATAAGTCATATTTTAAGAAAGTCAAAGATAAAATGCAACTAAATGAAAAAGTAAAGGTAAGATTTCACATAATTTGTTTAAAGGTCCTGATTTGTGAGTTGGTGGTTAATCTTGTATGTCCAACATTTAATTTTGGACAAAAGACAATATCATTATAATTATTATTTCATATTTCATTTTAAAGATAAGTGTTTTAAAATTTAAAAATATTTATAATATTAATCTTTTACTATTTTAATGATTAATTTTAATTAATGTTATTTAGGAAAAACGGATTTCATTTTTGGAAAGTGAGATAGTCAGACTACAAAAAGTAAAGACTGTAGAGAACAATAGTATGCAATCAACGAGTACAAAAAATAACGATGAAGCAATTTCCACGGCGTCTACTCCTGAACCAATGGAAGTAGCAGACTGAGAACTTTTTGATTGAATATTGAAAATTTATTAATTGTGAGTAGCTATAAAATTTTAATCTCTTTAATTAAATTTATTTTATTTTAAATTAAGTTTAAAAGGAAATGTGTAAATAAAAGAAAAATAATATTTAAATAATGACCCTTTAAATAAATATTTTATTAAATTTATTAAATTTATCAAATTTCACATTAACATGCATATTCACGTATTTTCCGTGTTCTAAATTTAGCACTACAAATTATTGTTGTATCTGTTGTATCTGTTGTATCTGTATCATTAATTTGTTACGTTATGTATAACGAGATCAAAAGGCGTATATGGATTCCAAGATGCGACGAAGTTAAAAGACTTGAGGAAAAAATAAATATTAAAAAGGCTGATTTAAGGAAAAATAAAAAAGACCTAAATAAATTTCCGGACGAAGACGAGAAAAATGACAAAAATGATAAAAAATTAAAAACAGCAGAAAAATTAGAAAAAGATAATAAAAATAGATTAAATAAAAAAATTAGTTTAGTAACGCTTAATAAGCTCACAGGTAAATTAGCAGACAATATTAATATAGATAACAGCTGGGATACAACAGTTAAATTAGTTAATTATTTAGATTAGTTTAAAAAATTAGTTATAGTAATTTTTCGATAATACTTAGTTATAGGGTTTTAATAGTTTTTATTAATTATTAAGGCTCTAAGTATTTTAACAATTGATTATGTAATTTGTTTCAAATTTAAATAATTAATAAAATGCGTTACTATTTAAAAAAAAAAAAAAAAAAATCATTAATTTGTTACTCCACTGAGCAAATAATATTATACACGATCAAATTTTGATTCACATAGATCTAGTATATATTTTGCCGACCATAGTTAAATCCCGGGCAAAGTTTCTGTGTTTAACAATTATACGTAAAAAACTTACATGAGTAATAAGATTTTATTAGCGTGCCATAGTGATCCAATTACTTCAACTTTCAAACAAGCTGATATATTACTGTAAGTCTGTAACTGGTATTATTGATGTTATTTAGTAATATTTTTAGTACATACATATAAACACTTCTATTACTTTCACTTTTTTAAAATATATATTATATACTATTGAAGATATTATTAGTTGTTTTATTATTTAAATAGATATACTGTATATTATATTTATAGATGTACTGGTGGAGACGACCTTCTAACCTTAATGCCTTCCTAAAACAAACAATTTATAAAATATTTTATTCAGTTTCAAGTCCATGTCTGCAATAATTACATTTATTCTTAAATGAAACAGCCAACAGAATATGTTAATTCAACTACTCCAATGCTTTGGAGATGTGGCAAAGATCTACAACTTTATCGAATAAAGAATAGTATTCACAATGTGATGGTAATTTTTCTTGTGATCTTGGAGATCGCTCACAGTAGAAGTCGTATGTGTTTTTTACGGAATATATAAACCTTTTTGTTCCAATGCAATGGATATGTAACAAAGGTCATAAATGGGTTTCAATAAAACACGAAACTTATGTCGCGAAGTCATAACTAAAATTCTTGTCCCACCTTCTGACATTTGCAAATCAGACTTCTTAATAACGTCTGAACATCCTCGAGGACTAGAACTTGACATCTAATATCCACAATATGGATTTGCTATAGAGGTACAAGGTAAACAGCAGCATGTTTGAGCAACATATAAATGTTTTCACAAAAATGAAGGAGACTTTGAGAAGCAGTTGATGACGTGATGCGTGATCAGAATTATGCGAAGAGAATTTTATTGCTTTAAAATATGTTTGGTATTACGAGGATCCACATCTTCGTGGGTTGGGTCTCATTGAATAAACTCAGAATTTTAAATGATTATGTGATTCACCATTATTTTTTCGCTTGGCTATGATAGGATTGACACTATTAATTACTGAATTACTATCTTTAAAATTGTACGTCATATCACGTGATGAGACGACAATCCAATAAATTGGCGTAAATCGGCAATATTAAATTTTCTCCGGTTGAGTGGCGATGCCTGCTTGTAAGTTAATAATAAGCAGTTATTAACTTAATGTATGTATAATTTGAATAAATAGTTGAATTACTTATTTTTGTTAATATTCTTTATAATCAAATTTTATTAGTTAATAAGTTATCAGTTGTTATCTTTTTTATTACATATTAAATAATATTCCAATAACTAATGACTAAATTTGTTTGTATTTAAATGGTAGTTAATTATTCTATTATGTATGTATAATATTTTATGTGTATTAAACTTTATTTAAACAAAAGATTGTAAGTATATATTTAATATTATATATTTTTTAATAATATTTACATTTAATTAATTAATAAATTAATAACACTACAGGGCGTAAGTTACGTATCATATAATGTAGTTTGTAAGTTTATTGAATTCATTTATTATATTTACAAAATATTTAAACTAATTAAATTTTATTTAATAATAATATATTTTATTACATTTAGATTGTAACCAACTTTTTATTTAAAAATTATTTGCATATTTTTTTAATTGGTAAGCTATAAGTTATTTATTTAGTAAAATTTATTATTACTTTTTATGTATTATATACTGTATATATATAAGTTAAACTAATAAAAAATAATTTGGTAATTTATTTCAGTTGGTAAGTTAAAAGTCATTCATTTATTTAATTCAATTCTTTTATTTATATATTTGAAACTAATTAAATTTTTTATTTAGAAAGTAGATTTATTATACACAATTACAAAGGGAGATAATGGCAGAATTTTCTTTCTTCAAAGAATTACATAATATTATGTAACACGTGTTTAGTGATTTCTATTTCATGAATGCACGAGTGATTTCTTATAAAAGGCTCAAGCAAAACTACGAAAAAAATGTTCCAATGTTTTTTTTTTTTTAAAAAAAAGTAATTCAATAATATAAAAAATAAAGAAAATCAAAAATTTCAAAAATTCAAAATCAAATAGTCAAATGAACATATATACACTAGGAAAACGGAAAAGTCAGCGGTATTGCAAGTAACACAAAAAATAAAAATTTAAAACGTATTACAGAAAAAGAAACGTATCACAAAATATGTAAATGGCGACGGGAGTACAAAAGGAAATTGAATCAGTAAAAATATCAATAATAGCAAATTTAAAAAGGGAAAATGTGTCAGCACAACAAAAAACTTCATTGGAGGATTACGATTGCGGACAGACATACCCTTACATGAAGCAACCGTAAATGACCGAAGAGGACAAATTATATATATTATACGTAACACGTGTTTTAAGAAAATTCTAAGCAAAACTACAAATTTTTTTTTAAAAAAAAAATTAAAAAAATGCAAAAAATCAAGAAAATCAAAAAATCAAGAATTTCGAAAATTCACTATATCACAAAAATCATTTTCATCTAAAATTATATTTATTCATTAAAATTTACTTCCTATTTACACTTATTATTATACTTATTTAAACACCACCACATAATCTTGCTATTAGGCCATTAGCTTCTCATTACCCTTTGCCTTTTTACAAAATTACCACATAATTTTGCTACCTTCTTGTGCTTACTCTTACGTAATTTCTCTAAAATCTCAAAATATTTTAATATTTGTAAGAAATTCTCTGAAATATTTTCAAAAAATTTTTCAGAGTTTGTTTCTCCACACTCTAATAATATCATGGATAAATATTATTTATTACTCTCGAGGTATATGAAATCAAATACATTTTTATCGAAAAGAAATTGGTCGACAGTCTCTTGAGAAAAAAAGCGATTATAAAATATTTAAACTTATTTATGATTTAATACTGTGATAGTTCTTCTTTTTATTAAACCTTTCATTGTATCATACACTTCTTTTAATTTTTTGTATACACTTTAATTTGAATATGTCATAGTTGAAATGCTGATGGACTAATTTATGGATCAAAGTAAAAGAATTTTAGCAGACATTTAAAATCATTATAATTCATAATAATGAATAGCACCTTATTCTGAACTTTGAACTATATCCTGGATATAGATATATCCTTAAAAGCCCAGGATACAGATATTCTTATCTTGAATAAATAGTTAATATAATATTCTATTATTACTCTAAAGTTGAAAAAGGAGAGGAAAGAGCATAGAATAATTAGATTATACTGAGGTTCAACAAGAATTTCTTCTGAGATGAAATGTTTAATGCTGAGCCTTGATTGGTTTCAGACTTATCAACAAAAGTACTTCCGCACAGACTTCCTGATCTAACTGTTACTTAATTGTTCCAGTCGGCCAGAGTATAAAAGAAATTCATTTGATTGCAGCAATGTTTAACTGAAAAGCTAAGAGGCTTGGTCTTCGAACCTAGAATGCAAATAAGGAGATATAACAAGTCATTAAAGGATTACTTGCGAAAGGCAAAAGGAATAATCCTATTACTATTATTTAAAAAGTTTAGAAGATTAATCTATATAACTTGCAAGTTAATTTATTTAATGAAGTATTTGAACTTAAAAGTTTAGAATATGTTTATATTCTTTATTGTTATTTAATAATTAGTCTCTTACTAGTTTTATTATATTGTTAATATAATAAATAAGTTATAAATGATTTATTAAAATCATATTATTATATTATATTTATTTATATTTGACCAAATTTTTTTGCAAAAGAAAAATAAAACATTTCATATAAAAATGCTAAAAAGATCATATTTATTACCAAAAGTATTTGTTAACGCCTTTTACAAAGATATAATCTTATAGAAGACTTTAGTAGAATAGGGACAAACACAAAAATATTTTTTTAAATTATGTTGAACACATGTTTAAACAAACAAGAGAAAGCAAAAGTTTTTTTGATAATATTTCTCAAGAACTGAACATACAGAAAGAAAGTAGTGCAGAAATAGTGTATAAAATATATAGATAGTATAAAAAGATTAGGTAGAAATAATGTTAAGTTGAGAAGTTGGTTGAGTGAAGTGATAAGAAAAAAGGTGTCACAAAATCGAAAGGACAAATAATATTACAACTAAATGGTACTGTCAGGTGAACAAAGATAATGTGAAACATCATAGGGGAAGAACTTGAAAAGGTTAAGAAATCTATATTGAATAATACTGGAAAAATCAATATTAGTTACTTTATTTACTTATTACAATTTACAATCAAGTTTTATTTTTAAACTTTTTTATTTAATCATCTAGCTAAAAGGAAACTCTGAACAAAATTATAAAAATGGATTGGTGAATAAAAAAATTTTTTTGTTAGGTTTGGAATTTGGATATTATCTAAGTTTTCTATCGCTGCATATGTATTATAATAAATTACTTTGATATAAAAGAACTATAAATTAAAGGAATATTTTATTTACATGTTATAAATTACATGCATGATTTTTTTTTTTTACTTTATTTATTTGTTTTGCTTTTGACTATTTTTTGTATGATAGTAGTGTAACTTACAAATTTGGAATTTACATAACGCAAATATTGTATCAACGATTGATTTGTTAATTAGCTTTTTTTGATACAACTTTCTGTAACTTTGTTATACATATTATGTGATTTACTTTAATTAATTTTGAATTAATGAATCGAACCAATATGATAAAATGTGACAGGTAGTGTGTGATAAATAGGATTTATTTTATTTTATTTTATTTTATGTAAAGTCGGAAGGACTATTCTAAAAGAGCATTAATTACAAGAATTGCGCCCAACATTTAGTCCAACATCTATCCCGAGGGGCAGACCCTAACTAATTATTATATACCATAGACTACTCCAACAACACGACCGATGAAGGAGCAGGTAAAAGGAAAAAGCAATTAAATGACTAGCACTAATCCGTATTTTTCTTTCAACCTATAAGGTTGCCACCTGTAAATACTGTAAGAGGTGGAATGATTTACACTATTTTGAGTTGTTAAAATATATCGAAAATAAAAGAACAAAAATGCTAATAAGCATGTACAAGTAGAAACAAACTATATAAAATCTATATAATAAAATGAGTGAATCTATACTAAATCGTAATGTTAGACGAACTTATAACCAAGTCCTTTGAAATGGAGTTTATACAAACCGTTTTATATTTATGAAGACCGTAGAAAGTGTCCAGATTGCCATTATCACAGGCACGTCTTTTGAGTAAACGTTCTTCCATGAGGGCACAAGGTAAATATTTTAAGCCAACTACTTTCCTATGGTATTCCATATATATAGCATGGTTGAGGTTTTCGACACGATTAAGTAGCTCTTCTAAGATTTCCATATCTTCTTGTCGTTTTCTAGTGATATCTTTTTCTCGCTTTTTTCGTTCGCTTGTTTTAAGTGATCCAGGCACGGTATATGTGATAGACGAGAGTTCAAGTCATTTTAATTCGTAAGCATGTCGAGCATCGGTATATTCCATAATCGCAGCACAAAAATCCTCTTGATAGATACCTTAATCAGGAGTAGTATCCCATCGGATTCCAGCGTCAGTTTTTTCACGTTCATATTTCATATCCTCTTCATGTTGATCATAGATTTCTTTCATATGGGCTAACCAAGCGTTACTGCCAACCGTTAATGGATTCAAGTTGCGTTTCCTAATTTTGCTACGAGAGGGTTGATTAAGTAAGCCGCCTTTGTAAAAAGGTTCCTCCGGAATTAGCAGAACGTAATGTGCAGGCACGTTTTCAAAAGTATCGATAATGGATGATGGTGGTGTAGAATTACCAGTAAGTGTAGATACAACGGAGCTGTCAATAGGATTTAAATCGGACATGGCTACCATAAGATTAGTATTAGTTTCAGGAAACGGGAGCGGAAAGGTATAATCATCTTGTTTGGGTACAATAAATTTTTTCTTGTAACGAAGATGTTTGATAGGTGTACTAAAATGTTGATTTTCTTGAAACAAAAATTTATGATGCCGAGCAGCTTGAAGTTTGTCATCCATCGGAGCATCAGGTGTCAATTTAGCATTGTGAAAGGTTTTCCTCATTGATGCATTAAAGCGTGCCTCTTGTCGTTTTTTGACTTTTGGACGTGAGCTAGGAGTATGCTGAAAGTTCTTATAAACTTTGCCTAGATGAAATTAAGTCGTTTTTTAGCTACAACGTTACTATGATATGCGCGATATGTTGTGGTGAAAGAAATCCCTAATCGATTCGAGAAGTTGTTATGTGTCTTCTTTTTGGCCCATCTATTGTAAAGGCGAGTTGCGTGAAAATCTTTGAAAGTTTTGCAATTACTGACATCAGGTATTTTGTTATCCTTTGAAATAAAGTACAGGACCAATTTTTTGTGATGGATAATACAGGCGTGGCGATGAAGTGACATTGTGAAAGGAACAGGAATAGGACAGGCTACTGCGGTGTTGCTAAGCGGATCCACTGAATGACTGTGATTACATGGGAGGTAGATACCAAAATAAAATCTATATTTCTTATACGAAAAATTAAAAAAAGTTTTAGTCATGTGATTATTTGTATCTTTCTTTTGAGCATGTGATACTATAAAATCTAAGCGCTCCAATAATTTTTTACGAATAAGCGTGAAAAATTTTTCTTGAAAACGTCGAGGAATAACTTTTTGTGTTGAAAAAAAGTGCGTGAGCTGTTTCGATATTTGAAATTTAAAATTCGGGAGTTGACTTGTGGAGTTATGACTAATCGGGCTAGAAGACATATGATAATCATTTGTGTAAATCTTCAATTGAAGTTCATTGGTGTTTGGTAAATGATCAACCAGCTCAAAAAAGAAACTTTTTGAACGCCTAAAATTGTAAATCTTGTTATAACCGGCTCTATGGCTTGGAGTCACGTGAAACTTTTCGTATTTCGTAGAAAAATTATAATTTTTTGGAGGTGAAGGAAAAGACCTAAAATCCTCTAAGTCGTAAGAAGGTGAAAGTGTGTCCGATAAAGTGTCTTCGGTAGGAGATACTCTTTGTATAGTATCATGGTTAAAGATAAAGTCCTCAGGACCAGTAAGCGTATGGTCATATCCGAGTCTTGGAGCAAAGTCGTCGGCTCTTGGAAAATAAGACATTACCAACCCTTTGAATATGGGTATTGTGAGAGCAATAAAACCTCGTCGTATGCCCGAGGCACCCTGTAGGGCCTCTTCCCTTTGAGTGTTTCAGATAGAAACTTAAAAAAATAAAATGCGCAAAATTACTGCGGAAAACTAACAAAATGGAGAAAAAGGGAGAGAGTTTTTTTTTTTGTGTGATAAATAGGATTTTGCAAGTGATGTGGAGCAACACCGGTGATGGAAAGTCACGTTTCAGGTTACGATTTACTGCGGATAAAAAAATTTCTAAATTGGTGCAATTAATTTATTCTTTATTCGGAGGAAAACTCTGATTAGAATGCGTAATTTTTTATAAAGGTCTTTATAAAACTAATAAGATTTACTATGCCTATATCAAATTTCTTAATTAGATTAGAAAATTTATGATTCTTGTTTAAACTTTTCAAAAGATGGATGATATTAATTAATAATAATAAGGTCGTTACAGAAAATAATTTAAATGATGAATCAAATAATTTAAATGAAGAAGATGATAATTTAGGCATTTATGAACTACACATATTTAATCAAGAATTTTGTTTATGCCCTGAATTTAATTAACCAAATATATTTAAGATTGGTGTAAAGAATGTTATTCTAAAAAATTCTAACAAATTTTAATAATTGGACCAATAGAAATATACATATAGATAAATTTATTCAAGAAGCTCAATTAAATGCAAAGAGTGTATAGAGTCACTTGAATGATAGACTAAAAATATTGTTTTCTTAGCTCAAGGTGATTAATAAAATGTTAAAGTGAAAACTTATGTATGTATATTATAGTAGTGATATATTATCATTAATTAATATTAAATTTTTATAAATAACAGACTGTATTGTTGAAGAAGAAGAAAGTATTTACCTTGATTAAAAACTTTATTTTGAATAAGTATAAATTTATCGAAGTGGTTATTTGTTTTTTTATTTTTTTATTATTATACATTAAGATGGAATTGATTTTGATTATTTTAATCTTTATTAATTATATTCAAAATTAATTTCAATTCATGGTATATTGTCAGTACATGTATTTATCATCCTTTTTTAAATCACGTAATGTTTACTTGAATTAAATCAAACTACTGTTTGTGATAAATTAAACGCGAGTAAGTTGTATACACTTGGACTAATTTACTTGGACTATTAAATATTTATATACATTTTTTTCTGTACATATTATTTGTTACTTCAAATCATCAAGGCATATTTTTTATTTAGTTTTTTTTCGGTTTTTCCGCATGAATAATTATTCTTTTTTTTTATAGTCACTTTCGCGTTTGTTAAAATAGTAAATTTTTTTTCTCACTTTTTACTGGAAGAGGTTTTATTAAATTTTTAATTTTGTACGTTCTAATGTTTACATTTGTGTCTTCTTTATTAATTTGATTATACTTGGAAAAATTCTCTCCAAGTAATATGGTTTTATTTGTTCAAGATTGACATCCAATTTCTGTAGTTTCCATCTCAGTATGTGTTCGAATAGGTCTATGATTTCCCATATAAACTTCTTCATCTTCATCTTGTCATAATTTTATAAAATATTATCTATTACTAGTATTATTTTGTTTCTTTGCTCAATTTAATAAAATTGTCTTAGAATAAATTTCGATTATCATAATTCTCACACAAATAGGGCTTTAAAAGTTATTTTGAAAATCATCCATTTTAATTTCATCACATGATAATCATGCAACCAAAAATTTGCAAATTTTATAACCAAAAATAGTAGGATCATATGACCTTGATCTTTGTAACACAAAGCAAATCATAAAAATAAACGGTTAAACAAAATTTTTTTAAAATTTTATAAAATTTTAAACCTACCTTTTTCTTAAAAACAATGACTCAACTTACCGCAGATTGTTTGTATGAGATTTTAGAATATTTGGAAGATGATAAATTTACTTTGTATTCATGTATATTAGTTAATCGTTTTTGGTGTGAAATTGCAGTAAGAATTTTTTGGAGAAATGTTTGTAATTATAATACTTTAATTTCTTGTCTTCCAAACAAGTCAAAAGAAATTTTATATGAAAATGGAATTTTTATTTCAACATTAAATTCAAAAACTCCTATTTTCAATTATGCATCATTTTGTAAAGTATTATCAATTAATTTAGTTCATTATAAAATTGGTGAACTTCTTAGAAATCAACAAAATTTTTCATCACAAGGTCTTTATAATAATAAATATATTATAGTAGTTCAAGAAATATTTAAAATGTTTATGAATCAAATTTCTTCTTTAAAAAGTTTAGTTTTTTTATATTATTCAAATATAACTTTTACTTTATACCCTGGAGCAAAAGATTGTTTAAAAAATCTTACAGAATTACGTTGTAATTCAAATATTTCTTCCGAATTTTTTTATCATTTATCTCAAATTTGTTATAATATACAATCACTTAATATAAAAATTGAAGGTATTATTTCGAATGGATTGGAAGATTTAATTTCTTCTCAAAAAAATTTGAAATATTTTGGTATAGAGTTATTTTATTATTTTACAGATAAAGAATTTATGAATACAATTCAATTATTAATGTCAAAACTTCCTAATACTTTAATCAAATTAGATCTTCTTGGAGGTTATCATTGTATTTCTTTATCATTTATTATTAATTTTAAAAATTTAAAAGAACTTCAATTATCTTTTAATTTAAGTGAAAATTTTGAAGATTTTGAAATCTTAAGATATGTTGTTTTTCCAAATTTAAGAATTTTAAAATTACAACATACTCGTCCAAAATTTGAATTATTAATAAATTTCTTAGAAAATAATGGAAAAAATTTGAAAGAACTTTATGTATGTGAATATTCAGGTTGTGGTGATAATTCTTTAAATTTAGCTATCACTAAATTTTGTCCAAATCTTTTAAAACTTTCTACTGGTATTAAAAATAATGAATTGGAAACATTAAAATTAATTTTTAATAATTGTAAAAATTTAGAAAGTATTAAAATTTGGTGTGGTGATGAATATTTAAGTGAAAAAGAAGCATTAGAAATGATTTTAAAATATTCTCAAAATAATCTTTATGAATTAATATTATATCATTTATTTGATGCAAGATTTAAATTACTTCCAGAAGAATTAGAATCTTTTTTTAAAAGTTGGTTAAATTTTAAATCACAAAGATCAATTTCTTTAATAATTGTTAATTATGATACAAATAGTTTAGATACATATCATGAAAATATAGAAATAATTAATAAATATATTAAATTAGGTGTTATTAAGAAATTTAAAGTTACAGATTTTGGTGATGAAGAATTTAATGTAAGTCCGTATTTCATTAGTTAAATTTTAAAATATATGGTTTTTTTTTTTTTTTGAGAGGGTTTTATTTTAAAGCAGTAAAATTATGGTTGATTACATGTATACAATAACTTGTATTAATCTATTTATTGTTCTTTAGATAGAAATTCAGAAATTCAAACTTTGGTAATGATTTAGTGTAGGTAATGATTTAGTGTATATTAAATATTTTACAAAAAATAAATAAAGAATTTTATTGGATTATTTACACTGATATGTATCTTAAACATTGATAATTCAAAAATTATATAAATGTTTTTTCGATAAGAATTAACGAACAGACTTGAATCGGGTTGAAATTATTCACTTGATTGGATTACATTACATCGAAGATTCGATGTATACTAGCATTGTATACTTTATACCAAGAAGAGTATAATTTTTGGGAAATTTTTCTTCATCTAAATTCATAAACAAGAAACTACACAATATCTGATCGATCTAAATATACGTTATTTTCTCTACATTATTCACATTATTGCAGTTTATGTAATTTCCTTTATCTGTTATATATTACCACTACCGTTTGGCATTTTTAATAGTTTATTTCTTCAATTTTCATTTCATAAGGAAGAATGATCCATTTTTCAATAATTTTTTCTTCAGAAGATGTGGATCTTCATTCCGGCACTTTTTCATCAAATCTACATAACATTGATTGTGGTGTACTTTCAATAATTTCAGGACGTTCACCTTAACAAATACTCAAACTAAGTTAAAGATCATGTGCTCTATTATTAAATGGTGGTACTCAGATGTAAAATTCCCACATAATCATAGAAAGACTATATATAAATCACTGGCTGGAGTATAAGAATTTTCTCTTAAAACCTCTACCTTCCTGAATATAATACTTTCGTGATTCATTACACTTATTATTATTCTATATTATATTGAAATTTTAATATTAGAGATCTAAAACAAGACACCATGAAAACACAAAATTTATTAACCCCAAATTTTTTTAACTTACCATTATATTGTATAAGTAAATTTGTAAAGAAATAAGCCAGGCTATTTATTCCTGAGTTTGACGAAATGTAAGTACAAACTGAGCTACAGCAAATAATGAGCGCTTTGAAAGTCCAATGAGCACCTTGAAGCTAAAATTTTTGTCTATTAAATCTTTTTGTAAAGAATATATAAACAAAAATAGTAACTTGAGACGAGTATAAGAAGCTTTTGAAAAAATAAAATAACCTTTTTCAAAATTGATTGAAATCTTGGTGGCTTGTACTTAACACGCTTTTTTTAATAGTATAAAATCGGCTTGATCAACACTAAGTAAAACTATGCTATTTATGAAGCAATTTTGTTAGATGGATAGTTAAATGGGATTATAAGAAACAAGATTGATCATTATCATCTTTGCTTAAAAGGATATTTTAAATGGCTTGATTTTTAAAGAAAACTTAAAATGCTTTCTTTTTGTTAATTTCTTTGAATTTTTTATTACACAATTTATAATTTCTTTTTTAGTTCTGCTGGAATGTGTATCAGATCGTTTTCCTGTCGAATATGTGGAATAGGATTTAAAATCATATACTAAATATATTATTAACTGCCTTAAGAGTTTGTTAAAGTTCGGAAGGATAACTATAATATCGTACATTATATAAAACTGATTTATCATCTTGCAAGATGGTTTTAATGATAAAATCAAATTAAATCAAAAATGATACTCAATACTTGGACTTTGTTACCTAAGTAAACTTGCAAAGTATCTAAAAGTAAGTTATTATACAGTATATTATATATTAAGAATTTTTCTCTGAAATTTTGCTGCGACACAATGAGGATTAACGTCATATAGTGCGATCAACATTTTGCAGGAAAATTTACTGCGCCCAATCAGATTTCTTGGATCAACAAAATTTTCTAAATTCGTACAATTTATTCGGAGGGGAACTCCGATTGGAATTGATTATTAAACCAATAAGATTTACTGTGCTCGTATCAGATTGGTACAATTTGAAACTCTAATTGCGTAATTTTAAAATTTTATAAATACTTGAAAACTTGTTTAACTTTTTTTTTTTAAAAAAAAAATGGATGATATTAATAATAAAGATGAAATTGTTACAGAAAATAATTTAAATAATTTAAATGATGAATTAAATAATTTAAACAATTTAAATGAGGAAGATGGTGAATTAGGTATTTATGAACAACAAATATTTGATCAAGAATTTGGTTTGTGTACTGAATGTAATCAACCAAATACATTTGAAGATTGGTGTAAAGAATGTTATTCAAAGAAATTTCAACAAAATTTTAATAATTGGACTAGTGGAAATATGCATATAGATAAATTTATTCAAGAAGCTCAATTAAATGCAAGGAATGTATATGAATCACTTGAATGGATTCCTTATAATAGATTAAAAAATATTGTTTTCTTAGCTCAAGGTGGATTTAGTAAAATTTATAAAGCAATTTGGTTAGATGGATTAATAGATAAATGGGATTATGAAAAACAGGAATGGGAACGTGAATTTGAAGATCTTAACGAACAAGATTATGAAGATGCAATTAATCCAAAAATTAAAAATCCTCTTAAAAATGATGAAATACATGGTCAATATGTAGTACTTAAAAGTTTAAATGATTCATCAAAAATTGATGAGGATTTTTTAAATGAGGTAAGTTACAGACTGTATATAACGAATTATTTAATATTCAAATATTAAAATAACCAATTTTTTCTTTTTAAAATATAGTGGAAATTACATTTACAATGTCAACATGAAGTACGATCAAATGGTTCTGTTCTTGTTCCATTAAATGGAATAACACAGGATCCAGATACATTAAATTATATTATTGTAATGTCAAAATTACCTTATGGTAATTTAAGAAATAATTTATTGATAAAAAAGCATAATCCAAATGATAAATTTCATAATTTACTTTTAATTTCAGCACAGCTTGAGGGTATTCATAAATTAAATTTAATCCATGGGGACCTTCATAATGGAAATATACTTTGTTTTGATCATGAAGTAACAGTAATTAGTGATCTTGGATTATGTAGACCAGTTAATCAACCTAATAGAAAAAATGATGTGTATGGAGTTCTTCCATACGTAGCGCCAGAAGTTTTACGTGGTAAATCATATACGAAAGCTTCTGATATATATAGTTTTGGGATTATTATGTGGGAGATGACATCTGGAGTTTCGGCATTTTATAACATTCCTCATAATTTAGAACTTTCTTTAGAGATTTGTAAAGGTAAAAGACCAGAAATTTTGGAAGGAACAATACCTGAATATGTTGAAATAATGAAAAGATGCTGGGATAATGATCCTAAAAAGAGGCCAACTGCTGAAGAATTAAAATGGTTCTTTTTAGAAAGAATTGAAAACTACCCATTTGAAGAAGATGAAGAAGAAAGAATACCTGTTCCTGGTAAATATAACTTTCTCAGATTAATAGAATATTTTCATTACATTGTAAATGATAATAACTTTATTATAAATATATATCAATTTATAGAAAATGAACCAGAAATTAAATATCACCCAAAATCCTACTATACAAGTAGAAAGATCAATTATTCGACCAAAATTAATGAAATATTACAAAGTGAAAACTTGCGTATGTATATTATAGTAATTTTTTAATTATTTTTTAAAAAAATAAGATATATTAGCATTAATTAATATTAAAATTTTTATAAATAACAGATCATATTGTTGAAGAAGAAGGTATTTATCTTAATTACAGTAAATATTTTATTTTGAATAAGTAATAAATTTGTAACTAAATGTATCAATTTTCTTAATTAGCCATACAAGAATTTAGTGACAATGAATTAGTTTTATGATTATTTTTATCTTGTTGGTAAGTAAAAATGAAACAATTTAAATTATTTTATTAAATTAACGAAAGAGTGGTTATTTGTTTTTCATTATATTATCAATTTTTTTTTATTATTATACATGAAGATTGAAATTGATTTTGATTATTTTCGATCATATAATTCTTTATTAATTATACTCAAAATTAATTTCAACTTCATGTATAAATATTATATATTATTATAATTTTACATGTATTATCTTCTGTATTATCTTCTGTGACTAAATAGACTTTGAATAAATTAAATATTGATTTGATTTTTTTGATCACGTAATGTTTAATTAAATCAATTGGACTAATTTTCTTGGACTGTTAATATTTATATACATTTTTTTCCAAATAAAATATAAATTAAATCGCATATTATTTGTTACTTGTTACACTAGTAATATTTTGTTCTGTATAATTATTTCTCTTATTATATTGTAAATCTATGATATTAATTGAGAAATCTATTATCAAATTAACAGAGAAGACATAACATTAGAACGTATAAATTAAAAATTTAATAAAATCTCTCAGTATATTCGATCATATGTATGATGTGAGAAAGAAAATGAAATATTCCTATTTTTACGTCTTCCTTTAGGTATGTGGGTTGCGTAACAAAAGAATACGAATATATAAGTAGCAAAATATGTCAAACTTGAATAATGACCATATTCCTAGAAAATTATACACAAGAAATAACTGGACATTTTGAAAAATTTGAATACATAAACATGAGTGTACTTAATAGAATTTCTTACTAGTATCTCTTCCTTAAAACTTTTATTATTTCACATATCCATATGGATCTAAGAGAAGACCTAATAAAGAGTCAAATCAGAAGGTAACCTAAAAAAAAAGAAGACGAAAAAAAAATGTAGTTAAAACACAACACACAAACCCACACTCCTAACCCATACTCTCAACTCACATACCTAAAGGAAGACGCAAAGAAAGGGACCTAAGAGAAGGCTTAATAAAGAGAAGACCTTGACAGAGAGAAGATAAACCTAAAAAAAAGATGATGAAAAAAAAGAAGTTAAACACCACCAGATAACAAACATAAAGTATAAACATCAAAAAAAAAAAAATTCACATTTTTAATATTTAATATACACTCTTTTTCAAAAACTCCTTTAAGAAATTTTTTCATTCTACCAGTGATTGTAAATATCTGCATTTACCTATTATGAGAGAGTAAAAATTATTAATAGTGTGCTAAATTTTTATTTAATGATAAAGAAGACATAGCTAATTCCTCCTTTTAAAATTAGCAGACTTTACTAATAACAAAGTAGGATTTTATCTGCTTGAGTTGGTTATCAAGTGAACAAGAGAAATAAAAAAAATAATAATAAAAAAAAAGAAGAAAAAAAGGGAATAAAAAAAAATAAAAATAAAAATAAAATAAAAAAGAAAAAGCAGGTAATTTCAAGGAATTACCCACTTTGCTCACCCTTACCCAACCCAAACAAACAAATCCAGTACCCTCCTAAGTAAAATTTGTGAACTCCCCGACTCAAATGAGTTATCCGTTCTAATTTTAACTTAGGAAGTTACCCACTTTGCAAATAAAAAAATACACACCTCTCTTAAAGTCTCCTAAGCCATTTACACTCATCTAGAAAACCGGTAATGCTCCATTCAGAGAGCTTTCGTCTGTTGTCTAGTGTTTCAATACAAAATAGTGCTGTAAGCCTGTAACTAATAAATAAAAAAAAAAGGAATAAATAAGATCCAATGATAAGAGGTCTATAAACATCAAAAAAAAAATTTCGCGTTTTTAATATTTGATACGCACTCTTTTCAAGAACTCCTCTAAGGAAATAAGTTTATAAACCAACGACCATCGGAATTCTTTATGTTCACGTATTGGCAATGGTAGTTTGAGATTGATCACTAAAATTAGACGTACGCGACGCGTACGTCTAAGAAAGGGAGTCGCGTACGTCTAAGAAAGGGACGAAGTGAAGGATTTTAGAGTATTTTTATTTTTTAGAGAGTATTTTTTTTTTTAAAGAAAAGAAAACAGTAGAGAAAACTGATGGTATATATGTTGAGAGTATATATATTTGTAAAAAAAATCGCGTCGTGGGAAAAAAAATGATGACTGATGATCGTCATGTGATTCTGCAATGTGGAGCTTGTTAATACTTTGTACGCGCCTATCAAATTATTCAAATTTAAATTTTTAAAATAAAGGAATCATCACATCTTCAATATATGTGTAAATAATAGTCAATTATGACAATTCGTATTGTAAAAATTTTAAAGAATTATAATATAATATTTATTTGCAAAAAAAAAAAAAAATTGATTATAATAATCAATACTTCGAATATGAGTTAAATTCAAATTCAGCAAACAAAGTTGTGGCTTTGTGATTAGTAACCATATTTGAAGTTAAATATAATATCAGAAAAAGTAACCTATAGTTATCAATCAATCAATCAATTGTCGTGATTAGTAATATATTATATAATCTTCTAGAAGATAGTAATAATCAGTATAAATACTTTATATATAATTTTAAAAGAATTATAATATACTATTTTATTGACTATCTGATGTGACAAATAAATTATTTAGGTGTCTTATCCGTAATATATATTAATCATAATATTATCATATTAATTATGAATAAAAAATAGTTGATAGTTAATAGCGCAGTAGGCAATTGATAACAAAAACATTTCTTTCAATAACACAATCTGTGGCGCAAGACTCATTGATCGTCCAGACAAAAGTATCCTAGTCTTGACAATCAGTTATATTAATTCAATAACATTCTTTTTCATGCTTAAAAGAGAATAATAATTACCTTTTATAATAAAACCAATTTAAAAATAGATTTTTATTTCATGGCTCGACATCAAAAACATTGTCTTTGTTAATTAAAATAAAATGATTTTGTTAATTAAAAATAATAACAAATATAAAAATTTTTGTTGGTTTTATGTTAATAAAATGATTTTACGATATGTTTTTGTTTATAGTTTATACATAACTTCGCAAAAAAATTGCTAAATTATAAATACTCCTCCATTTTGAGTTCGCATTTTTCAAAAAAAATTTATCAAAAAAAAAATCATATATATTTTTTTTCCTCCTATAATAA